AACAGTTTTTTATATGTAGCCCTCGTGGCGGTACCAGGTGAATATATTACGTACCCCCTCGATCCAGGTAAATAACCCTTACATAAGCGTAGGATGTAAGACACACTTGCAGAAACGCTTAAGCATAACGTGAGAAACCTAGGCACAAAAAAATAAAATTTGGCACTGCTAATTTTTGCTCCCCCCAAATATTAAGCGCAAGAAGGTGGTGTTGAAAAGCGAGATTTTCGTCTATCTTTGGATAATTGATTGAAGGTATTACCAGTCCTCGGACCTTCTCCTAAAGTTTTCGAAAGTATTTGTTCTCTTAGGAAATCAAGATTTTCGAAATTTCTTGATAGTTTTATACAAACGCTAATTATGAGATTCCTTTTTCTTTTTCCTTCTTAACGATAAGTTAAATCAGAGAAGAAAAAATAGCTTTCAGTTAGTTAAAACAAGTTTTTTAAGGCGTGATCTTTGGTTTCCACGCTCGAGCGTTCCTGACAGACGAGTTGCTCGAAAGTATAGGCGAAATTTATTGCCCAGGCAGACGCAAAGCTGAAACGCAGGCGGTATGCTTAGAGCTAGGCCCCCTTTGCTCCATTTTAGAGTTTTCCCTCCCCACCCAGCCTCTCCCACGACCCGCCGGAGTCATTGGGGGCGCTTATACGGGCGCGGTTCAGGCGTACTTGACATTTTCTCTGGCTTTGGAGGTGGAGCGCCCCACCTCCAAAGCCAGGGAAAAGCGCCCCAGGGACGAGGGTTGTCCAATACACCCGCACAGCAACGGTCCGTACAAGCCATGTGTCGATCCGTACGGATCGACAACAGGGGTATACGGTCTGTAAAGAGAGTTTTACGGTCCGTAAATCGCATCTCATAAGTGGGACTTAGAATATTTTCATGGCAAGAGTGGTTATATACGGTTTGTCGATCTGTACGGATCGAATGGGTCTGTAAAGAGTGTTTTACGGTCCGTAAATCGCATTTCATTAGTAGGACTTAAAATATTGTCATGGCAAGAGTGGGTATTTAACGTTTTTCGATCTGTGAGGACGGTACGGACCGACGAAAGGAGTATATGGTTTGCGAAGAGCCCTCTTCGGTCCGTAAAGTGCGCGAGGTTCACGTTGGCGATCATTGGGTCCCTATAACTTAGGAGATAAATTATAAGATAGATATTCCGTACTATGATGCTGTAAACTCGAGGTAGTGTAATTGCAAATATTATAATAATTTTACGTTGACTGTTATGTATACTCAGTGTTCAAACTGCAATATTTTACAATCTCTTGGCTAAAATTCTATCGTAACTATAAACTGCATTACAGTGTTCACTTTCTTTACTTTTTGCCCTTTTTGAGCACGCGTTTTTCTTGAGTGCCTTTTACGGTGTCTAAGTTGGCGACCCGAAACGAATATTTCAAACCATATCATCGGTTATAACTTACGTGTATTGGTGCAATGTTGACAGCTTATATAAAACGAGGCGATTGTTACATTTGGAGCGCGCATGCCGTCGTTTGGGACATTAGAACGAGGAGCAGTTTTATAATGAATATTACATTTGTTTTGTGCAGCAAACGTAGTAAGAAAAGCAAGCGAAGAACATTTGCATTTAAAGTGCGCTTGCTTTTGTTTTTGGCGTGTAGAGAAGGAACATTAAATTTATATAGAGTATGCTTATCTTGGTTATATAAAGAAATAATACGTTTGAACATTACATTTTTGGTGCTTGCTTATCTTGCCTTTACATTCGGTGCGTGCTTTGCGTTCGAGGTACGAGAACGCAACACCTAATTTGTGTTGTGTGTTCTGTGCATTATTGGATGTCCTGTGCAATTAATAAGGGAGGTTTTTTTGAGATTGTATTTTCGTCGTCGTCGTCGACACACATTTGCCTCGCTTTGAGGCGCTTGCTTAAATTTTGCCTCGCTTTGAGGCGCTTGCTTAAATTTTGCCTCACTCTGACGCGCTATCTCCTGTGGTGATTCTTGTGTCCTCGGCGTTCATCTTTCAAAGGGGGTCTGATGTTCTGTCTTCGTAAAGCTTTCATCTTTTAACAAGTTTGCTGAATCCTCGTAAAGCGTACATCAATCTGTGTTTCCTGAATCGTCCAAAGCATTCATCTTGCAAAAGTTTGCTGTTAAATTTTACTTTGGATTAAGCCTTCATATTTTTCAGCATGGTTCGTGACTGTCTTTGGAAAATGTCTGCGACTCCTGGTGCATACATCAAACCGGGTTTAGTTCGGCGGCCGTCGTGTCACAAAGTAAATCTAACGAGATGTGAAGCTCGGCGGCGCCATTTGATCTTGACTTGTGATATACTTGTGATATTTTCGGCACCGGACAAACGAACACTTTAACTCTATGTTATTATTAGGAAAAACTTATAAACCAGACCACAGTAGCGCCGCTCTCAAGTCACTGAAATCAACACGCTCGACCAAATTACTGGAATTACTTGATTGTTTACATGTTTCCTTTTTATAGCTACAGAAGGTGCCGGGTGAGTTTCTTTTTCAGAACGGTATCGGTCTTTGCGGTATAACCTGGGTCTCAAAGTTCTTTGTCACGCAATCTCGTTTCGCTAAGGTTCGGGTCCGTTGTCAAAAATGTGAGTTAGGTGAAAATGTTTCCCTTTTTATAGCTATAACGATTTGTTTCATGAGAAATGAGAGCATTTTAAAGAATAGTTACCAACACTAAAGCCGTTTTGTACATAATGATAACTGTACACCCCTGACGACAAAAGTAAACAAGCACGCACGTTAGGGAAGTGTTGTAGTCAAGAAGTTCATAGCTCACTTTCGCACAGTAAAATTGCTTTTCCTTTTGAAAAGTTGCCACTGTAAAATCTGGAATCATTTTTGGTGTTTAAATCTACGGAAAAGAGGCGAATTTGCGCCAGAGTTTCAAATGCTGTCTAAGTTCTCGCTTGTATTCATAAATACAACTGCAAGTTCAAAGGTAGTACATCACGCGAGTACCGTGTTTTCAGTTGTAAAAAATCGCAGTTTGAATTGCCCCCAAATTTTATTTCACAGATTGATAGGGGAAGCATTGCTCTTTCTATGGAATACTTTTTTTCTAATGAAAGCCATGTAAGCCATGTAAGGGATTTTCGCCGTTGAAAAATGGCAAAATTGATGGTCGCGATAATACTGATTTAGAGGGTAGTTTTGAAAAAATATTTAAAAATCAGAATGAAATCTTTTGAAATTGTAACAACGTTTAGATACAAAGGAAGGATCATGAAACTGTTTGATATAAGAAAAGTCATGGTTTTAGGTGAAGCGAGGATATCAAGCCCATTTTTCGCTGGTTTGAAGGACTCTCGAAGGTGAAAATTAAAAAAATTGATTATTTTGGAAAATGTATAGTCAAACGAACTGAGTCTTGTATTTTCTAAAATAGTTTCCAAAGGGCTTTGTTGTGACAAAGTTTGGGTGATTTCGATTTTTTCATCTTGCACACCTATCCGTGGTATTTACAGAAAGTCGCTCTTAAGGGGTTTTTACTATGTTAGACTATGTACATCCTACAGACTACGACAAGCTTTGAGCGCGCTATGCACCCGCTGAGGCTATTGAACAGTCTTAGGGGCCTTTTACATGGAGGGAGGAAGATTCTCACACCAGGAAGAGCCTAGAAGGCGGAAGAACTTTTCGTTGGGTTTACATGCAGAAATCGTGGTCCGTGCGGTTAAAAGAAGAGAAGGAATCAAAGAGCAAAGGTAACCCGTTGAACGACCTCCCGCCATTTTTGTTTTGTTTGTCCCTAGTACTAGGATCTTCATAGCGAAGGCAGTTTACATGGTATTAGGATCTTCCTAGTGCTAGGGTGTTCCTGTCTCTTAGCTAGGAAGGTCCTAGCACTGGGGACAATTATAACCCTTTACATGTAAACTGAATACAGAAAACATATTGCACCAGGATAATCCACCGGCCTTATAGGATCTTCCTTCTTCCATGTATATAAGGCATTAATATTCCTGAAGGGCTGAAGGTTTGTACTTCGTTAAACGTAGTAATAAGACGTAGATGTCCGCAAGCATTTTGCTACGATTTTAAAGTTTATGGCGTTGCTAAATAAAGAAAATATAAATTTAGTTAAGACAGCCTGAGGTCACTGTGAACGCTTAAGTAACTTGTTAGTACGTGCAATTGGTTGCAGCTTATGGCCAGAAATTATTAACGTTAAAACTAACCATTAAGCAATTTCTCTGAATAAGAATTGCTGTTTTTAATCTCCCAAAAGGAGGGATGGATAGAGAGAGTCAGAGTGTAAGGCGAGAAATGGAAAATCGAGTGGGAATATTGCAAATTGAAAAATATAATTAAGCAGATGTTTGCATTTTGCCTATTGGCGATTTTAATATCATCAAAAAGCAAAGGCTTTTATTTTTCGTTAAATACCATGAGAATTTCCTTTTCCACTCCGAGGTCCGATTTTTGCAAATTCGACACTACTCCTGTGGACGGAGCCTGATAGCAAGATAATGAGAAAAAAATAAAATGAGCCGGGACAGTGTCACTATTGATTTCAAAACAGAACTTCTAAATACTTAATTTGCAGTAAAAATCTCTGCGTGAATTAATTATGTGTTTCTCGTCAATACCGTAAATGATCGATTGAGCGCCGCGTAATCGGAAGTGGCGCTTATTCGAGAGCGGCACTAATTTTAACTACGGGTAAAGCATTAAGGGGGATACAGAGAGAACTCACAGTTGTGTAAGAAAAAGGAAAAACGTGTTCACCTCGAACCGTTATGTTATCACGAGTTGGTCGTGGTCTTATTTCTCAAGCAATATGGTTTTGATATCTCTTTATATCAAGCGCCGTATAAGGTGGGGCGTTTCTTTCTAGATACCCAAATTAGCGCCGTGGCGCCCATTCGAGAGCGGAGCTTATAAAATTATTTTCGGTAAAGGTGCGACGCTTATTCGAGTAGCGGCACTCAATCGATCATTTACGGGATCTAGCAAGTGTCACACAGGTAACTTCAGAAAAATGTCATTTACAATTATATGTAATATGCTGTAATTCATCTCCTTTGCAGGGAACTTGTCGCCACTTTGAGTTGTAAACGAACTGCGGGGATTGATTTGGAGAAAGACTAGGATTGATGGATGATTCAACCCAGTCACTTCTCGGTGCCAAAACACCTGCATCGTTTAATATTTCTCTGACTCTGGCTGCCAAACTCTGTACTCCGCTTCCGGGAAATGAAAACCATTCGGTTCCTCCTCGACAACTCGGATAAATATCAAGACCGTCTGTTCTCAATTGTCTTTTGACCCGATTTTCCGCTGTTCGTTGATTCTCGGTAACAGAAAACGTATGGCTACATGTCAATTGGTGAGGGTTTCCAGTCTGAAGTTCCCCTAATCGAGCTCCGCAATTATTTGCAGTTCTACTTGATGAGCCTACCTTCCCGAATGGTGGCGCGGGCTGGTCTAGACAAGGGTTCATAGTAATGATATATACATCGCCAAAAACCACAGTTTTTTGGGGTTTTTGCGTCTTCTGCACTTGCACTCTGCTAGGGCCCCCTTGGGAGGGCTTATTCGTCTTAACTGCTCGATGAGGCTGCGTTTTCTGAGGCTTTGATGATGTTGTTTTTCGGTGGCGTCTACCAGATACGTTCGCGTCTTCGGCCGGTTCAAACCATTCTGAGGAGTCCGCACCTGTTTTGTTGTAAACAAAAGTGAGAATATTTTGCTCCTGGCAAATTTTGGTCTTACCAAATTTAAGGCGCGTAGGAGTCTTTCAAATTAGTGCAATAGCTAACTTGGAAATTAGATTTCAAGCGCCTTTGACTCGTCCAGGCATTAATCTTGAGAAGATCACGTGGGGGTGGGGGGGGGGAGAGATAAAAAAAAAAAAAACACACCTGGCCTGAAAGTACGCTTTGAAGATGCCTTATCGAACGGAAGAACTTTTGACTGTACAACAATGACGAAAAACAAAAAGCTTTAATGGTAGAAGGAATGGAATGTAATTTGGAATCATCAAGAACTAAAATCAAACTAAGATTACTTCTAAATATGCAGCAGCCCGTCGTGACATAAGACCATCAAGGTTATACAGTCAACTCTCTCATAGCGACCATTTCTCGTAAGTGACCACCTCCCGTAAGCGACTACTTTACAAATAATCCTTTTGTTTCTAAGTCAAACAGTTCAATGTGAGTTCTTTTTCTTGATTATTCCCGTAGACGACCACCTCCCGTAAGCGACCACTTGGTCGTGCACCAAGGGTGGTCGCTTACGAGAGACTTGACTGTATTTTAGAAAGTCATCAATTATGTTCCAACCTAGTAATGCCAAGTAGAAGATGTATGAACCGTTATTGCTAACAAACCGCCTCGCAGCCTTGCGATCTTCGCGGCAGTATAATAAGCACAACAAAGCCGCGCGCGAAAGTCTTAAGGTACTGAAGGTAGAATGAATTTTCAAGCGATGTAACATAAAATAGTGTAAGTGAACTTTTATGACCTAATGCAGAACAGAGAATATAATAAGAAAACTTTTTGTGCTATCTAAAGACAATATTTCAAATTCTTTATGCAGTAGAACAGTTTAGCTTATTATTTTCAAGGTATTTTTATTTTCAGTCATGAAATCGAATTGAGTTAAAAATATTTTACCCAAATTCACTTCCTGTTTACGCTAATAAGAAAAAGTAATTTGTCTAGCAATCATTCGAGCTTCTAACTTTTACGTTTTTCCCGATATTGTTATATATTTGTTTATAGGCAATTGGAAGCCGTGTCATTTTTGCGTACTTCTGTCCGGGCCCGAGTTACGTTGTCGGCATTGCAGCTAATTTCAATTAAAGGATGAGGCTGTAAATTCCTTTTTTCCACAAAGCGGTTTGGGTTTTCGTATGCCGCGGTGTCTACTGATCGGTTCCTTTCGTTTTTTTTGTTTTCGTCATAGGGTGTTCTGTAATTAAGTGCGATACTGTAATTTTAATTTACGGTAGTTTTGCAAAAAAACTGGCTTTGAGGTCCCTGCTTACCTACAGCAGGCCTCTGTATTTATTCCCGTGTGAGTGTTTTTGTTGGTAGTGTAGGCGAGGAACTTTCTGTCGATTGATTTTCAAAATTACGTTGCGACTACAATCCTGGCCAAAACGATTTGAGACACTTCTCTTACCCTCTCTCCTTTCTGTCAGGAAATTGTTTGACCGTAAAACAGTAGGGATTTAAAGCCGACGACTACGAAAGGGTCTAGTACGGTGACTGGAAGTATTTTTTTCTCGCCACGCGTCACTGCCTCGAGTTCAAGGTGGCTTGCGAACAAGCTCTCCGGGGAGCTCTGGCGGCAGGGCGGGAAAAGGAAGGAGAGCTTGCAACTACGTCTCTGGAATTTGAATTCCATCTCCAATTCCCCTGTGGCTAGCCGTCGACTGAGCTGCCAGATTTGTACATGACTAGCCTGTTCCAGGCGTTCGCATGGTGGGGAGCGGGCAAAAAATTAGGGCGCCAGCGAAAAATTGACGAGGGAAAAAATAGGGCTCCCGCCCCAGTCTCCCCTCGTTTTTTTCCCCTCGTGTTACTTTTTGCGCTGGTCGCGTACGATTTAACTTGCTCCCCATTATCTAAACGCCTGGAACAGGCTAGTACACGACCCGAAATGATCCTCGACCCCAAATTAAATGATCCCCAATTTTTTTCACACGCGACCTGAAAAGATCCCCGAGGAATTATCGGAATTGAATAAGAGGAAGATGCTAGAATTACTAGAATAAAGTAAATTAAAGAATTTTGACTCGAATTGTTTGAAGGGTTGATGTATTTATAAATTTTGGACAATTTATTAAATAATTTAAATAACTCCTTTTAACGAATTTTGCAAGAAACTTTAGAGTTTAAATTGGAGGTTCAAATCGAGCAAATAGCATCTCGTTAGGCCCGGATTAAACGTCATCTTTCACATGTGCCGAGTCTGATGCCTATTTGGTTCTAGTTAAATAAGTAAATCCGCCATTTTAGACATCGAATCATGAGCGAGTTTTTATACAGTTGGGAAAAAAAATTGAGAATTGTGGGTTATAATAAATTAAACATGATTTAAAAATTCGATTCGGCACAAAAGACGACAATTGAACTTCTGTCGAGATTTGACTTGCTCAGTCGAAGATGCGACCGAAGTCGTGTTGTCGAATTTAATCTTAGTTAAACGTCGAACTTCCTACGGATTCAACACCTGAATTTTAAAAATTTTAAAATTTGGCACATGTGAAATGCGATGTTTAAACCGGGCCGAAGTGACGCTCTTCAAAAAGCAGAATAAAATCACAGTTTTAAACTACGCGGTCCTGCGCGACATTGTTGTATCCGACTGATCTTCCGGTAAAAAGTCCAACGAAACAGACTGCGACGAGACTGGGACGAAACTGGAAGCATTTTAGCAATACAGTTCCATGTTCGTCTGTCTGGTACAACGACCTCTACATAATTACGGAAAAAGTAAAATTCCAGACAATTAATATAACTAAAAATAACTTTGTGTAGTCGATTAGCCATTTTGAAAAAATTTCGCGTTTATAGCCGAAAAACTTCGCATTTCGTATTAATCGAAAAACGGAATTAAAACGCTTTAATCTTATCCCCGAGATGGAAATGTTTTCCCATTCCACTCCTATAATTCCACGGGGATCATTTCAGGTCGCGTCTGAAAAAATTGGGGATCATTTGGGGTCGGGGATCATTTCGGGTCGTGTGCAGATTTCCGCCTATCAGCGCGAAGCGGAAACGAACGCGAATGTAAACAAACGTTGAAAAGACGTGCCAAGGGTAATGATGTCTTTACTAATGTCATCTCCGCCAATCAGCATTTCGCATCTACTTTTTCGATGCAGATATTCAAATTTTAGAGACGTAGTTGCAAGCTTTCCTTCCTTTTCCCGCCTCGCCGCCAGAACGCCACGGAGAGCTTGCTCTCAGACCAGCCCAAGGTACCACAACGGCGACAGCGGTCAAAACGTCGCTTTTTAATAAAAAGTCCACTTGCATTCTTTCAAACTTTTTCGCGATTATTACAAGTCGCTTATTTTTTCAAATGTAGGCAAATTCATCGAGGAAAAAAGTTCGTCTTCGTTTGTTTACGTCCTCAGTAAAACGTGAAATTATGCATTTTCACATCGTAGTTGTGAATTAATGGCAAAGAAATGTTGATAAAACTAACTAGAAGATACGCGTGCAAAGTTGTTGATTTGCTAATTCAACTTATTGACTGGCCGTACTGCGCTTGCCCGAATACGCAGATCATAGCGGGGCGTACTGTCCAGCACGTAGACTATTTAGTTATATTTTACCTGCTAAGAACGCCAGTGTATATTTGAAACAGAATCGCAAGATGTACGCATTTTATCCTTTTTTTTGGTCATCCTTGGAAATTTCTGAAGGCTCATTATTCGATTATGAGCCCCAAATTTCGGTGTCAAGCACGACACCCAAGTGAAAAATACAGCCAAATACGCAAAATACAGTCGACGGGAAAGAGGATATCTCATAAGGGATATCATATCACAGACTGATAAAACATAAGCAAGCCCTGAATTTGCCCATGTATCGCCCTTTTTTATGAACTTTTTTTTTTTTTAACATTTCCTTGCCGGGGGAGGGGGGTCACTGCAAGGTTTCAACCTTAGGAGAGTTCGCCAACCTTTGACAAAGTATTAAAGCAAGTTGGAATAATCGCGATAAACAATAAAAGAACGCGAAAACATCTTTAAGCGACGTTTTCACCGTTATAGCAGTCCTGGTATCTTCAATTCCCTGACTTGAGACATTGACTGGTGGCGAAACAAAAATTGGTCCGGTCACCGTACTAAAACCTTCCGTAGTCTTTGCTGAAAGTCCCTAGTTATTACATGTAATACATTAATACAGCTATGCCTAGTAGGTTTCTCGCTCGTCCTCTCCCCCCGCCCTGAACAAAGTTGAAGTTCATACACTTAAAAAAAAATTTCAAAAGTTTCTCGCCAGTTACGCCCAACACTGTTCGGGAGAGTGGGGGTAAAGGTATGAAGAAGTGTCTTAGTGTGAATAACCGTCCCAAACGTTTTGATCAGGACTGTTGATTGTGTAAAGTAGCCCTGTTAGAAAAACGAATCGTTCAACTTACTTTTGTTGTACTAATAGCGGGGCTCCCTCGTGCGCGAAGCGCGCGTGGGACAGAGCCCCATACTCATAGAATATGGTCAACCTCTTTTCTTTTGGTTGTCACGTGACTGACCAAGCGTACGTACGTACGTACGCGTCTACAGATTGTACGGGTAGAGTAGGGGAGAATATCAAAAGGAAGGGAGGGGTGTCTCAGGCGTGTCCTGGCAAATCCACATCTTTTACATTGGCCATTCACAATATGATCAATTGACAGCTGTCAAAACAGGATAGCCACTGACCAGTATCACATTGCCATATCGAGCGCTCTTGTGTCAACTCATCAAGGTGACGTGATTTATTTGGAAGCTGTCCGCTGACCAGTTGTTTTACTAGATCGCGATCATCTCATACTGTCTGGCTTATTTGAGAGCACATTGGACATCAATGTTGTGATCAATTGACAGCTGTCAAAACAGGGTATCCGCTGACCAGTATCAATTGACCGTATTGCGGGCTCAGGTTTTGACCCATCGAGGTCAAGTATTTTTTGAAGTTATCCGCTGACAAG